AGAATTCTGCTGCTGCAATTACCTTTGTAGTGTTAATTGGCTGGTATGTTATCTACATTTAACGCCCAGTGAAATGAACAAATATCTGTAAACAGTGAAATACAAAGAATTGGGAAGGAAATAATCATGGTGAAGATGGTTGTCTTTCGGATTACAGTGCCGTATAGTCTGGAAGAAGTCTGCCGACGTTTAGATATACTTTCTTGCAAGTAATTTCTAGCAAGTTCCCCTGAAACGTTGGTCATTTTCGACCACACTACTCGGCGTTACAACCCAGAAGGCAGCCATCTTCGTCCTATCATTCGACGGGCAGCATTTATTCTTAGTTTTTAAAGACATGTTTGACATTATTGAGGAATATTATAGCAGAATTACTTCTTAAAATAACACCCGTGGAGTGCCGTCCACCAAGATTAATGCACTGATGCCCCCGATTCATAACAGCTTTAAACACGCGTTTTAACATATCAGGTGCAGGATTTGAAGATTGCTGCCTTCTGGGTTGTTGCGCTGTGTAGTCTGATGAATCGCCCTGATGACAGAGGCAGCATGACCTCTGAAACGTTTGTGGATATCTACCAGACTACACGGCACAACAACCCAGAAGACAGAAATAAACATGTCAGGTGTTATTTTCAAGAAGGAACGTTTTTATAACATTACTCAATACCGGCAAACACTCTACAACCTGTTAAATTAAATATACTTTGTTAAGCAAATTATTTTTTAAAAATATACACGTGCAATGCAATGTAGACAAATCCAAAAATACTTAGTTAAAAACTGTATGTAAAATATCGGTTACACGAATTTAAAATATATATTTGTAGGATCCTTGACTGTTAATTTAAGACTCAGGAAAGTTTGTAGGTTGTATGGCTGAAGGTATAATTAATGTAAGGAACTTGAATTGAAGTTAGGATTGTGTGCAGTGTTGTTTGTGTATTGCTGAGATACTACACGCATCTTATTGCAAGGTGTGTGTGTGTGGATGCAGGAGGTAGGGAACTAGACATAAGGCACAGTAATACTGTACAGGCCCCCAGTGGGAAATATTGGAAATCCTCAACAACAGAATGTGGGGACCAGGGGATGAGGTTGCCACAAACTTTGTTAATAGGATAACTTACTGGCCGTGTCTCTTCGAATCTTCATACTGCAAAGCGCATTACAAGCGTACAGTCGCGTTGCAGACGCGCTGAGACCTGACTTAAGAATGAAATAGGGACAATTTTGTATTCCACTTCCGTACGTCTTGTATTCCCACATTTGCAACAGTTTGATTGAATTTCATGTGCGTGAAAATTACGTTCTGTTTATGGAATAAGATGAAATCACAATGGGCATGGTATGTCCTTCTGTTCATCAGAAAGTTTTTCTTTTGCATTCTTAACTTTTAAACGTACTAGATGGATTTAGTTCAAATTTGGTGCCCTGAGGTATTCACTGAGACGTGCTGGATTTTTTAGTTGTGCTTCTTAGTGTAACCCTTACTTCGCACGAAACTAAAATAAACTTAGTCTTTTTAAGGGAATATTTATCACAGAGAATTTTCGCGAATTATTTGAAATATTGGCTTATAAAATGTTTCAGTTTAGTAAATTCTTTTACTACATATAAGGAAAATTATTTTGTAACTGTGCGAATGAAGTTATCTTTTCAACAACAACTTTGTGTGATGGATAATTTAACATCAAGACCAGTTTATAATAGCAAAGAAATTTAACAATTTTTAGCTTCCATGTGGAAGGTAAAAGATTAAGTTGTCCCTGGTGCTTAACTAAGCACCAGGACACGAAGACGTGTGGCGGAATGTAGGTGTAGGTCATCTGTTTCTTGGTCGCCACACTGAATGGAGATAAGTGGTCAGCTTCACGCCCCGTACACTTTACTACTGGTGAAAGAACCTGTTACGGATAGGCCGGTAGCAGGGAGGAAATCTCTTGCCTCGTCTGGGAATCGAACCCTGTTTTTTTAAAGACTAAAAATATTGAAATTTTGATGTAAAAATAATTTTTATTAAAAATATTCGCATGTAGCCCTGCCAAATATGCGAAGTATTGTGTACAAATTTATTGATTTTTTTTGATATAACAAATTCACTTTACGGAATTTAGTGGGCTTGGAGAAGTTATAAAATAATACGGATAACCATCATCTTGAATTCATGAAACGGGCACAAATTAGAGAATTGTCATTGAGATTAAAAAGTACGAGGGCGTTTCAGATTTGACCAAGAATTTTGGCCACAGAGCTTAATGAAATCGACTTCTTGTTTCTTATTAGGCTTTCTTCCGGATCGCCTTCGTTCTACAAGCTTGTGTACTCAATGGAACTGATTCATTTTATTTTGACAAGAAACGGTGAAAATTCCAAGCGAAATCTGAACCACCTACACTTTTATTACGTTTTGCTCGTTACTGTTTGTTTTCTTTTCCCCCTAAACTTCGAACTAGTTAAACATATGACTCCTGTGTTACATAAATAAGAATTGATTGGTTAGATTTGCTATGACACGCAAGGGCCGGCTCAATAATTTCACGGTCATGAATCTTTGTTAGCATGTTTGATATATAGACAGTTTGAATGCTTCGTGACTAATGCTCATGATCATGCCAACAAAGCAGCCATGTCCCGTGATTTATAACGTCTATTGCTTCTGCCAGTTTCAGCAGAAACACTAACTATTAATGAAGAGCTATAGAACTATAATTGTATCTTGCATTTCAGCAGTATCAAGTTTAATTAATCATTCACTTTACACTTGTCCTTGTTATTGGTGTTTATTCTGTTTAGGAAGAAGCAAAAATTGGCTGGGAAACTATTCTAATTTATTGCAGATGGAGTTATTACAGGATGGTAGCTATACAAATTTATCTTCTTTGCCACGTCTCGCGCTCACCGCTGCGTTTTGAGTTATGGAAGCCGTTTCGTTTTAACAATAAGCAATAGAGACGTTCATTAAAGGAGGAGGGTGATGTTAGAATCCTATATAATAAGTACAGCTTCCAGGGATCTCTTTACTGCTCCATAATTTAAGAACAAGTATCGCGGGAAAGTCTCAGCAGCTCTCACTGGAAGCTAGATACCGGAAGCGTATATTCAAACTCTGATTCGCCAGAAAACACTGGGAGATTTATATTAGTCGTTGTTGTCTATAGAAATTGTTACCAAGACACCTAATATTGCAGCCGACTGGTTAGTACTACTTAAAATTCTGGACGTCCCAGGTTTGTATCTCCAGGCAAATTCCGCTACAACACTTTAAACTAGACCACGATTAGACATTACTTTTAAGAGTATGCTTAAAATTTATCGCTAAATAAGCCAAGTATAAATAGAATGTCTATCCGACTACATACTTAAGCCCTTTACGAAATTTCTCCGTAACTTAACAATATGTAGCATGTAGTGCTGGAACCACGCAACCTTTAAATCCGAATAGCAATGAAGAATAAATTACGAAAAAGTAAAAGAAAGACCAGCATATGTTACACGTACAGTCTCGGAAATGCAGCAGAAATAATACAAGGATAATACTTGCGGTTGCTTTTAACTCGTTAACAAAATTTATGGGCTTCGTATGCTTTACAGAGGAACAATAATTACTCATTCTGTGTCCAATATCAAAATTTACATATTTTGGTATACATTTTCATTTGCACTTGATATGAGCTCCACGTGGGAATTTTGTGACATATAATTCAATAATATGCAACTACACGGCTTAAACAGTGTTTGTGTGAAAATAGCATATGCATTAGAATGTATGCCATTATTACGACTCAAACTTGCATGTTTGACCTTCTCTTTAAAGCTAGTTTTATACTTTACCGAGCTGTGTACCAGAGAATTTGAACGGCAAAGTGATGTACAAGGCTGGTCTACAAAGTAAGTTTCCCTGGGGCCGTTTACAGAAACAAAACACAATTTCATGGAAATATTTATTGCAACAGATACAGCAAGTGTCCAGCTATTTTTCAACATATTCGCCACCGGAATCGAGACATTTGTCATACCGTGGGACCAACTTTGGAATCCCTGTGTCGTAGAAGTCTGCCGCCGGGGATTGGAACCACTGTGTGACAACCATCTCTGCCTCTCTGTCATTCTCAAAACGCTGACGCTGACCGGACAGGAATTTCTTGAGGTGTAGGAAAAGATGGAAATCACTGGGAGCGAGGTCCGGGCTGTAGGGTGAATGATCAAACACCTCCCAGCTGAACTCCTGCAGGAGACTTGCTGTCCGTCGAGCCGTGTGCGGCCTAGCGTTATCACTGACCGCACTTCACAGTCGGCGGGAGCTGGAATAAGAACCTCCATCTTCAACAGCTGCAACGATGCTACTGTGAGAACGCGGGAAGTACCGTTAGTGCATGCGCCATGCTACGTCATTGCTCTATCACGTACGCACAGTCGCTTCGCTCAATATAAAGTTTGCTAGCTGTAGGACGAGTGGGAAACTTACTTTTGGGACGCACCTCGTACTTTTGTTTTGTAGCGAAACCTCGTCACACGTTTTGGAAAAGTCGTTAATATTAATTTATGTTTCTAATTAAAGCGTACAGGCATGTTAGCATTTGCTTAAATAGTTACAAATACAAGGGTTTTGCGAATATTTGGTTATAAAGACATCTTATGCTTAAGTCACTTTCGGTTTCGGACTTAAGCGCTTGGATTTTGTGGCCCAAGATTCACTTTAAATAGAACACAATCAATCCTTTCCACGCCCTTTACAATTAATCTTTCACAGTTGCCTTCTCATTCTACGTTACTTGTTTATAACCTATATTGCATCCTTGAATAAACGTACAATTTATAGTTATATCAATGAAATCATATGAAATATCAACTACATAGATATGTTATATTTCTACGTAAGTGTTCAAGGAATCTTGCATTTCAGTATTTCTGGAGTTGGTGGGATGTAGCAGCACAAATTCTATGATGACAATGTTGAGACAGGGAACTGAAGGTTTATATTTTTTTTCTGTTTGCAGGGTGGGAACAATGAGGAGGAAGACAGATGAGGCAAGGAAAGCAGAAGTGTGGCTCAAGGTACGTTGGCATACAGGGACTGAGAAAGCCAGTCAATTCTGATAGTATCTATATAGATATACTGCACTGGGAAACAAATGAGCATCATTGTCCGCCAGCCAGTATGCTCCAGTGAGTCCTAGAACTCGGGAGGGAATTTGTAGGAAGGGGGTGAGGGTGGTTGAGGTTGTAGGAGTTAAGAAGATTTTGACTGAATGCTGTGGCCAGCAAATGCCATAGCTTAAAGCTGCAGGAGGAGATTTACTTACGCACAAAGTCGGTTTAAGTAGGTCTTAGTATTACAAACACACCGATAAACACCCGTGTTTCGTCAACTGAGTTTCGGCCCCTAGTACTGTGTTTACTCTCACATCACATTTGTCCGGGAAATGGTTTGTGGCAATTTACTGAATAGTAATTATTTTAAATTCCATTATCCTCTTGCAGTAGTTCCTGTACATGCAAAATGTAGGTAGAAGGCAACACACGTCGTTGTTAAGCATACAGTTTGTTTATTCTAGATTTGGTCAGAAGTATGATTGATTCTTTATTTAACGATAGTTTATCGACTGTTTAGAATATGATTGGAAGGAACCTGTTTTGAGTTACTATCCCGGAATATGTTTTATTAAGTCAAGATTACCGACCTTCTGACTAGATTCGAATCCCGGATCTTCTAAACTTGTTCTACGAAAAGTTTAATGGAGTAAACAAATTTTGTTATGTAATGTTTTCCACGTTTTTGTTTTTCGGTGTTTGCACCGATTGTCTTGTCATTCAGTCTCGTAAAAACGTCACAGAATAGATCAAATCGTCTGTTCTGTCAATATAATACCGCAGTACGTTAGTCCACGTCTTTTTGAATTTATAACATTTATCTTCACATTTTCTGAATTCTGGAATGTCATATCCAGTATCCAAAATCCAATATTGATAATATTAAAAGTCAATTTTGATATTTTTACTCCACCTTGGAAAGAGGAGAAAGTGATACGTGCTACAGATTTAAAACACGGAATCACAGTAATTATTTCCTGATCCTAATATTTGGTGATATTGTCAGAAATATACAATTATTGACAATACGCAGAATTTTGTTTGTAGATTGTATAATTTATTATAAATTTTTCCTAATGTTTCAATTTTTATAGTGAATTATATTTACGTAGGCCTACGTTTTTAAATAAAATAATCTAGCAGTTATATTTATTAACTTATTTTACTATTCCATTGCAACCTGTCACTCTTGTAGTATATTTCAAAACTTTTATTTTAAGAATTCTTTTACTAACTAAACTATATCTGTCAAAGTCCATGAGAAGTTAATAGTCTCTCAATTAATCAATAAATTCCCCGTCTTTAATGGAACCCCGATATTTATTGTCATATTTATAACAGCTCCCAGCAGTACCCTATGAGGTCGTTAATCTAATACACAGTTTCACATTCTAGTTCTCAAGATCCATGTTAATATTGCTGTCTCGTCTACGCTTTAGACTCCCAAGCGATAGGGTTCCTTCACATTTTGAACACATTTCTCATTATCCCGTGCGTAGTTCATGCACCGCCGATCTTATCCTTCTTGATGGGATTACTTTAATCATAGTTGGTAAAAAGTATATCTCTTGCGCAGCGTGTAGTAAATATCTTTTGTACGGGAAGTTCAGTTTTTGTTATAACTGCTTAGTCATCTACAAATTATAGCCAGATGAACATTATATTCTGAGCAATAAAACGTGTTGTATGTAATGTATTTGTCGATATAAATATTAGAATAATAAGTGAAGCTATGATACTCTGATGCATATACACGTGCGTCGTTTCAAAGCTAATTAACGTAACACGTGCACAAAGTGTGGATTATCAGTGACGAATTAAATATCTGACTCCACTTCTAAACAAAACGAAATATCGCCATATTCTTTAAGTTCCAAGAATATAAACTTATTTCCTTTAATAGACGAAATTCAAACCCCAAAAATGATATTAAAACTATTGGCTATCAAAGATAATAAAATTAAATTAAATTATGAATGAATGAAAACTCAGTTTATCTCTCCAAAATTCCAACGAATGAAATCAGAATTTGATAAGACAATTCAGTAATTATTATTTCTTACATCAGGAACCATATTTGTTAATTACTTACATACAGGAATGATTTTTGTTAACTAATGTTCTCACGAGTAATAAAGCGCATTACAATCAAAGCTAGTCTCTGTAAAACGGAAGAACCATAAATCCATTCTATCCACGAAACTCTTTTTTTTTATCCGGTGAATCGTATTTCGTAATAAAACAAATGCTGACACTGTTCTCCGTTATTTACTTTTCATTTTCAGAGGATGTCTACCGGTTTGTTCTGGTGATGACGAATCACACATGCTCACTGCTTCTAAATGCGAGCAACGAATTTTCAGGGATGAAATAGAAAATTTATCCACAGTGTATACGAGGGGTAGTAATACTGATCGTCGAAAAAGTTTACAATTCGAGGACTTTGTGATGAAATATTATCAACAATTTCGTGTGTGTCAGTAAACTTCGGATATCAGGAACAGACTAAATAAATTTTAGTGTTTTTAGTTCTTTCCTGACCTGTAAAGAACAACTACTGTCTTATAAATATTAAATTTTAGTCTTACTTTTTACCCTTATTTTACCATTCTATTGGCCTCCCGTCTGCTGTACAAAAGCATAAACATTTAAAAATGTAAAATTATAATTTTTCGTGTTTTTTTGTATGGCTTTGAAACCTGGCCGCTGGTACCGTGGGTTTGAGTCCCACTGAAGGCATGGATGTTTGTCCGCGTCTTTCTGTGATTGTATAGGTAGAGGCCTTGCTTCGGACTGATCACTCATCCAAGGAGTCCTACCACTGTCCAAATAGATCAATAATATGAATAAATAAAGCCTCGACACCTACGGGTAAAAAGAGGATAAAAGGGAAAGAAAGGAAGTTAATTACATGGCTGCCACGCGAAATCTACTTTCAGTTTCTTTGGCGATAAATTGTAAATAATTAGAGCATGTTAAATTTTATATTGAGACAGATCATAAATATGCTTATTCGTTGTCTTGTATGCTAATTAAAATACGCCGACAACGTGAAACTTTGCTAGAACTTCTTTTCATGCGACTCTTTATTACAAACCTACTATTTGTTTCCAATAACTTATGTTGTGTTATTATATATGATGTATCTCTTACCTTTGTAATAAGAGATTCGTAGTAATAGTAACTTGTTCTTATTTGGAAATAAACACATTTCTTGTTAGTGTACACTTCACGAATAGACTGTAGGCTTTATTGATCGCATCCATTGAATCAGGATTTAAACTGTTCACTTTCCAATATTTTAGCAATTTATATCTTTCATTTCATATTTAAGAATCAACAATGATCTCTAGAACGCTGAAAGTTTTTATTCTCGTCAAGTAATACCATTTAAAAATATATTTAATAAATACAAATTTAATTATACTGTTATTGCCATAATAATCTCTTAATATGACGCACTGCCCCTACGGATCAACATGTCTACTTTATTAACGATATAGTAATACAACATTTTAAAGGGAAGTTTTATTACCCCTGACTATGGCACCGGCGCAGGTGTCGAGTAATCAGCCCTAATTAGAGGACCCTCCATGAAACTGAGTAGTCTTTTGCACCCCCTCACCAAACATGTACGAGGTATAGGTACTCAAATGAGGGGTAAGGGTGAATCCATCAGGCATATTATGTGTAAATGTGCGACTTCACATACACACACACGCCCGATTATAGCATCACGCTTTTTGAAATAGCGAGTAATCCTAATTAACGCAAGGACCATCGCAGGCCTTACTGTGATACAGAAAACGAGCACTGTAACAGGTGCAGCATTTGTTTCATTAAGTCTTACTTGCGTAATAAAGACTTTTATTTGATCTCCGAATATACGTCACTTATTTAAGTAAAATTTTTTATTGGGCTTATATACTGTACGTTGTCATGACATTCAGTTTTGATTTTTGTAGGACAAGTTCATTCGCTAATATACACAAAGCTCAAATCGAATTATATCGATTTTTCTAAAAGAAGTTCATCATTTAAAGAACTCTAAACTATTATAAAATAAGATACATGGATATTTGCTTTAAACATTTTTGATGAAGTGGAATATATTAATGGTTTACCAAAAATATATTTGTGTCTGTAAACCTAACAACGTATTGGTTCTCATTTAACCCCTCTGTTATAAAATAAGATGGTAGTAATATGAGTATTAATTTAAGGTTATTATTATTATTAATATTAATAATTGAATTTAATGTAAAATTATTCTGGAAGTTCAGCGGAAATGGTTTATTTCATATTTTCGTTTCATAACCCTTTCTTCGTGTTTTCTGTCACTTTGTATATTTATCTGCTTCCTTCTTTTCTGCAATACACCTTTCCCCTTACTTTCATCTTTGAGAAGCAATGCTACGTACTGCATTGTCTCACTGTTTTACTTTCTGCTGCTTAATAATACTAGAACTTGTAAAATAGAGCAGTATGCCATCCGGCGAGGATTTTATGACTACTCGATTGCTAACAAACAAAAATAAAATTAATCAAATCAGAATTTATGTACGTAATGCAGATATCGTAAGGTAATCTCAATAAATACACAGTAGGTGGATGGATAAATACTGCGTCTTGTAAACTGCGTTACAGTACAGCAAACGAAAAGTAAATAATATCAGACAGATATTCTGTATGTACTAACATTATTGTCAGCATCCGTCACGTTTGGCTGGACGAGGTGATACGAAATAAATTGAAATTAAGTTCAGTTCTGGCGGCGGAGACTGATAGTGTGAGGGCGCCTGTGGTGCGGTCTGTCTGCGTTTGGTGGGAGTCCGCAATTAGACGGTCGATTTTTGCTGCTGATTTTGGCAGCTTTTGGTGCTTCACTTACCGTTAAAATTTGTTTCACATTTTATGTTCTTGACAAAGAAACAAATGTTTTTAAAGGTCTTACTTTTAAAGCT